GTCTCCAAAAAAAGTGCCATGAGATCACCTTTGTCTCTTCGAATTAAGCTCTACCATAGCAAGAAATACTGGCGATAAGCCAATTTAAGCATACAAATAGCACGTACCCTTCGGATTATTATTTGATATTGGCAGTGTTACACATCCTTCACAAATTGCCGACAGACTTAACCGTCGATTATCCTACTAAAACAAAACCGCTGTTATGGTATATATAAATATATATATATATATATATATATATATATATTGGAATATTTTGGCAGAATTCTTTCTTTGATACATGTTTGATTAAAAATAACTGCTGACTCAGCATTAACGAGCTTTTTGATGCATCGTTCTAGTTTCCGGGCCTTTGACTTCGCGTCATCGCTTAGATTAAAGATGGTTCGCACAAAATTACTCATATATTCATCACTCCTTCCATTCTAACGTTTCGAGATCTTATCTCATCTTGGGAGAAGACTAAATTGCACAAGAAATAAGTTTTGAGTTTTAAAGGATGAAAAATTGTGCACTACTGTTGGAAAACATCTTTTAGTACGGAGAACATAAATGAAGCACAACTAATTGAAGTAAGACGGATTGCTATTTTCATCTTCATACATGTAAGAAACACACATAATGGGAACATCACGAAGACACAATGGAAACACTATTGTCACAATCACATCGGAAGTGCTCACCGCCCACCAAACTAGAACGATGCATCAAAAAGCTCGTTAATGCTGAGTCAGCAGTTATTTTTAATGAAACATATATATATATATATATATATATATATATATATATATATATATGCCTTACGGTATAGCCCTGTCTCCTCTGTGCAAATTAAGTTTTTGCACTGACGTGGCATGAGACAGAAAAATCCATATCCGCATAAAGTTCCAAACTGGTAGACTCTCGTAGATCAAACACAACGTACTGAAGGATATTCCGTCACCTAAACAAAGTGCAAATTTCGCTTCAGCCAAATGAAGGTAGATCACGTGACATAAGATCACGAGATCACAAAGCCACTCTTTCGGGGGAATCAAACACAAACACATCACCTTCGTCACTATATCCAAACCACAAGCTTCTCGGTTGTATGTTCAGTATGGTTGAAAAACGTACAGGCTGCCAAAAATCTCCCTACATCGCCGACTTTACAAATTTGTAAGGGATACATAAAAAAACGTATGTCAGATTGAGCTAATTTCTCATATTGTAAGTCAGAACACCGTGCAACTCATCGAAAAATCTTATATTAAAACTGATATGTGAGGGCATCTTTCCCACACGTATGGTCAACCTATAACATATAATTTCCACACAATCCAATCTTATCACCTGTCTACCTGTATCACCACATGCCTTTTATAACCTGTTCTAGGACATTTCACAGAGACAGCACATTTCCAAGCCGCTATTATGCCATTATTAGGCTATGTAGCAACGCTCAGCCCGCGCGTGAACGCACGTTACCGCACTACCAACTGTTGCAATGTTGACAACCATGCAGCTTGGCAGACAATCCATACATAAAGTTGCACGGCCACAAACGTTGCCGATGTGACAGCAATTAATTTAGCCTGCTAGCGGCAATACGCTTCTTCAGTAAACTTAATAAAAGAGCATGTGGCTCTTTAACCTCAGTTTAAACCAATGGCCCAGCAGGAATATATCCCCGGCAGACTTTACAAATACCTTGCGGGCACCTGGCTGACAATCGCTCCCCACCGCCGACCAATCTCCTCGCCGCCAGGTCTGAAATTCCTCCAGCGGCATGACATTTCCCCTGATTGGAGCACAGACAGCCGCGATTCCGCCGCTCCCACGCGCCCGGCCCTCCCGATTGCCCGGCGGCCCCGGTGCCCCCGCCGTCCGGACCGGCGGCGCGCGCCCCGGCGGCCCGAGCCGTGCCGCGCCGCACAGATTCGCGTCACGCGCGACGGCAGTTAGTATTTAATCTCGCGCCGGCGGCGGCGGCCGTCACGACGCCGCTTTAAAAATACTGGCGGCGGCGGCGGCGGCGGCGGCGGCGGCGGCGGCGGCCGGCGTGACTGGAGCTCAAACTCTGCCGGCGGTGTCAGCCGACGTGACTGGAGCTCAAACTCTGCCGGCGGTGTCAGCCGACGTGACTGGAGCTCGAACTCTGCCGGCGGTGTCAGCCGACGTGACTGGAGCTCAAACTCTGCCGGCGGTGTCAGCCGACGTGACTGTAGCTCGAACTCTGCCGGCGGTGTCAGCCGACGTGACTGGAGCTCAAACTCTGCCGGCGGTGTCAGCCGACGTGACTGTAGCTCAAACTCTGCCGGCGGTGTCAGCCGACGTGACTGTAGCTCGAACTCTGCCGGCGGTGTCAGCCGACATGACTGGAGCTCAAACTCTGCCGGCGGTGTCAGCCGACGTGACTGGAGCTCAAACTCTGCCGGCGGCGGCGGCGGCCGGCGGGAATGTAGGTCGAACTCTGCCGGCGGCGGCGGCCGTCGTGACTGGAGCTCGAACTCTGCCGCTGATGGGCGAACCCGACGGACGGCCGCGTCCACCGCAGGGGCGCCCTCAGTCGAGAGGCCGATCAGGCTGGTCCGGGGTGTGTTGAGAATAGAGTGGGTTTTCGGGTCATGGAAGCATTGACACATAGCATGCTGTAGACGCGTCTGAACTTCGGAGAGCTCACCATGGTTCCGCCATGAGTCTTCTAATATATTTTTTTGTTCCCGTGTTGAAGATAATGCGAGATGCGACTTATGGTGACCAAAGCGCGCGAAAATCGCAGTCATCATCGTCACAACACCTCCAGCGCACAACAGTTGCAGCAGCACTGACCAGGAAATTGGACCAAATGAGTAGGGTAGCCCTTTTGACCAGCTCGCCTGCGTAGCCCTTAGCCGCTATCAACTACATGTAAAACTACAAACGTATTTCGAATTCACCACGCCATCCAAAACACCTCCACACGATTCAGGGCCAACTGCGGCGTCTGCTAGCCGTTTGCCGAGTCCGAAACGTCCTCTTGTCCGATGTGGGCTATTGCTGCTTTTCGCGGAGACGCCCACAAACCAACTTTCGGAACAATAGCACAGCGCCGACCAGGACTCAAGCTCCTTCCGGAGTCCGCAGCATCAGTGGATCACACAAAAGGGCAGGTCATTAGTTGGAAGTGAGTGGCTTTCGTGTGTTCTGTCGGCTGCCAATACGGCTCCCGCCCTCCGTTGCGCCGTTCCTGGGTGGCCCTTGTCACTCTCGAGACGGGCGGATGATGCATCATCGCAGGAGAGACAGGATGTTATCCGACATGGTGGGGTGGCTAAACGCTGAGAATGCAGCGCCGGACCGCTAAGACGTCTGAACAAATACACCCATCTCGCCGGCGGCGAAAGGGGAGTGGGCGGAAGGGCGAGAAAGCGAGCGAGAGAGAGAGAGAGAGAGAGAGAGAGAGAGAGAGAGAGAGAGAGAGAGAGAGAGAAGAGAGAGAGGAGAAGAGAGAGAGAGGGAAGAGAGAGAGAGAGAGAGAAAGAGAGAGAGAGAGAGCAAGAGAGAGAGAGAGCGAGAGGGAGAGCGAGAGAAAAGATCTAGCAAGAGGGCGAGGAATGCGAGAGAGCGAAATGTAGAGAGGTGC